TTGAAATCGCGTGTGCATTTCTGCGATCCGGCTCGAATCCGGCTCTAATGCTATAGAAATACTTCAAACTAACGAGTGGGACGCTTAGGCCGTTTTTTATTTTGTTTTGTGGGAATGCGCGGCCTGCGAGGGCTGTTGCAGAAGCAGCACAGTTGCTCTTGAGTTCTAGCCCTCGTCATCATCTTCAGTTCTTATTTTGCAGAACCTAAAATGTTATCCGCATAAAGAAATTGCGTTGTACTTGTATTCCAAAGCGCAATACACTTGGCAAAAAGCCAAGAGAGCTGCACGCGACCGCGCCGCGCTGACGGTGTTAGTAAAAACGTGAGTTTGCAAAAACGGGCGGCGTAGCAAGGAATTACGACTTTCCCACGGTCCCGTACTCTGACCCCGTGCAGTTTTGGGCGGGGGACCACGACACATCGACAGCTGGGGGCTGATAGTCTCATACACCCTCAATGTGTTTGAGCGTACCATGTGTCTTTAAAAACAGCAGCAGCAGTCAAAGAAGTGTAATCGGATCGGCTTGACTGGTGCGCTTAAAAAAAGAGAAAATCTGCTACGGTGAATCTGTTTATGAAAAGGTGTCATCGTTTATATGCGCTCCAGATAGTGAGCCTTTCACTATTACCGATGGTCAGTTTTCAGGAAAAAGCCTCGGAGACAATCGAAGCCAACTGCAAGTAGAACAACTACAGATAGTCCTTCGAACTTACTGGATTGGGACAGGAGACTTTGGAGGGCAAAAAAATCACTTTGAACGCTAAACTGACATAAAAATATCATCGTCTGGACTGGCTCGATGTCCAGTGTTATAACTAAGGGCATGCTTCAAATTTTCGTAGTAAAATTTGTTACCTAGTGTCTGTTCAGTATACAGAATAGAATACGGAAAAGAAAACTCGTCAGAAAAAGCCCGCATTTGCGGAAGAGGATGATTTTTGAGGCACCATAAATTTTGACCACCCTGTATATCTCCTTTCGATGGTATCTTGCTACAGTAAATCGTTTTTTTTATTTTAGCATCACTGAGGTGTCCATCAAATTCCACTAGCTTTTTCTTCTATTGCCCAGTGAAGGGAATTCAAGCTTGTCTCAAGGACTGAGTTCTGAGAAAAAATGTCCTGTTTTCACCAATGGACACTCCAGTCTCTCCATCCCTTCCCTCCTTTTTCTAAGCCAGGAGACGAGGAGATGGGTTCCTTGGTCGATGCTGATTCGCTCACGCAGGCACTGGCCGCTCACGGAATGTAAAGATCAAACCTGCAGCAAGGTAAAAAGGCCAACTCTCCCGTTCTTGCATCAGTCGGCTGTCAAACTCGCCTCCCTGATGGGATAGGATGCATTTTGGCTGACGGCTTCCGTCAGCGACCCACCCTTAAATAATAGTCTGACTACCACCATTACACTTTTAGAGGGGATAGCGTATGCACCTGCAAACTTTGAAAAGTGATCCACCACGCTGAGTATGTAGCGATTTCCATCAGTCGTCAGTCCCATCTCCAGAATGTCTATTCCTACCAGTTCGTATGGCTTAGAAGTTACTATTGGCTTTAGCGCAGGCGTCATTGGATGCCGGTGATTGTGACATCTCGACATTCCTGGGACCATTGAGTCACGTCTCGCTTCATGGTCTCCCAGAACAGACGCTTCGACAGCTGCTTAACCAGCTTTTTCGGGCTAAAATGTCCTGCCAACAGTCCCGCATGTGCCTCTTCAAAGACTGCTCGTCTCTTGGACGACGGCACAACCCTACGAACTGTATCGTTCTCTAGTAAGCCTAGGTAGCCCTTGTCCATAACAAAGTCTGCCACTTTGAACTTTTGGGACATCTTTGGAATGATGATTTCCTCATCCAGATTCCCTGCTTCCAGGCTACCTATGATCTTGCTATACGTGGGATCTTGTCGTAGTTCGGTCGTCCACTCGGGCTCTTCCACTGTCGCTGCTACAATGATTTCATTGGTGATCTCCTCACCTTTTACTTCCTCATTCAGGGTAGCACCGCGACTTAACGCATCCGCAACACGATTGGCAGCCCCTTTCAAGTAGACGATCTTGAGATTGTATTTTTGCAGTTCGAGCGCCCACCTGAGTACTCGTGCTGACACGTTTGTTCGTCTGAATAGAGCTGTCAAAGCTTGGTGGTCAGTATACACCTCAACTGGAAGCCCGTACACAAACATGTGAAACTTCCTCAGGGCAAAGACCACAGCCAAGCTTCCAAGTCGGTGACATGATAGTTCTTTTCACATCGAGACAGACCCTTCGACGCAAAGAACACTGGATGTAGAAATCCATCGTCGCCTTCCTGACTCAATACAGCTCCCAGACCTTGGATACTTGCGTCAGTATGAATTTTGAACGGTCTTCTACCGCTCCTCGCCGCTTCAATATCAGGTTGCGCTAGCACTGGCGCCTGCATTATTATTGCCTTCAGCTTGTCAAAGCATGATGACTTCTTCATGGAATCCCATTCAAATGCCACTTTCTCGGACGTCATCTCATGGAGCGGAGCGGCTACCTTAGAGAATCCCAAAACGAACTTCCGGTAGTAAGAACACATACCGAGGAAACGTTCGTAGGTCCGAGCGCGATTGGGGTAGCGGGTACCTTCTAATCGCTTCCACCTTGGCTGGATCCATGTGCAACCCATCACAATCTATTACGTGGCCAAGGAACTCCACTTTCCTTTCCAGCAACACGCATTTTTTGGGTTCAACCTGAGTCGTGCTTTTAACAGTTGCTTGAAAACCAGTTCCAGAACTTGGAAATGCCTCTCTACCGTTTCTGTGGCTACCATGATGTCATCCAGGTAGCAGAAGACTTCATCTCCCAGTAGAGGCTCGAGAACCGCATGCATCATGCGTTGAAATACCGGAGGTGAAGATGCGAGCCCGAAAGGTAGTACGCGGAATTGGTACAGACCTTCCGTTGTGGCAAACGCCGATTTCTCTTTTGCATCTTCAGATAGACTTATTTGCCAATAGCCTGATGACAAATCCAGGGTTGAAAAGTACCTTCGACCCTTTAAACTCTGCAGAATTGTATCAATCGTTGGCAGTGGGTAACTATCTATCCTTGTCACCTGGTTGAGCTTACGATAGTCTACGCAGAGTCGGAGTGTTCCGTCCTTCTTCTGAACCAAGACGATGGGTGAGGCCCAGCTCGATTTACTTGGTTCGATAATTTTCCGCTCATGCAAATCATTAAGAATCCGTCGGAGCTCCACGCGAGTAGCCAGTGGTATCGGGCGAGGCTTTTGTCGGATCGGTGGTGCCTCACCGGTGTCGATGTTGTGTTCCACCAGCGTTGTCTGGGTAAGCTCTTGCTCGCTCACCGCAAAGACTTGAGCGTAGCTCTTGACGAGATTATCAACTTCGTCGCTATTCTCCTGTTTGTCCTGTTGTCGCGGAGCAACTTCAAAAGTCTGTCTTCTCGGTCTGTAGGAGCTTCCACTGTGCGCCCCAACATGTCTCCCGAATACGTGACAGGCTTGACTTCAACGACTTTTGCGGGTTCGAGGATCCCACCTCCTCCCCTAGTCGGAAGATCTTTGCTCCTGCAAAGGTGTTTGTTACCGGCACCTCAACTGCCTTCTCTCCACCTTCCCATACGACATCAGGAAGTAAGTGGTCCTTAGACCAGAAAATTCCTCCTTGGGTGAGGTCCTTGCATTGAATCGGCACCGATCTTGACTGTCCTGGAGGTATGTACACCCTTTTCGCAGCAGTAACTGAGAGAGAACAGGGTGGTTTACTCCTCCGACATCTTGCTTTCTTTCCGCGTTCATTTACCGGAACGTCCTCGCCTACCGTGATCGGAGGTAGCGCCACAGACTCTGAGCAGTTTCGCTGAGTGAGGTCATATCCAAGTGGCCGCAGTGCATTGGTCCCAAGCACCAACATGCCGTCTCCTCCAGCCATGACAAAGGCAGCGATCCGCTGCTTCTTACCGTCGCTCATCTGCAGCGTCAGTCTGATCGCTCCTTTGAAGGACATTCTGTTGCCCGAAGCATCGAATACCTGCTTTTGCTGGTCCAACGGAATTTCTTCGACGTCGGCATCCAAGTCAAGCCGGACTCCAATGCTGCCTGGAGTACTTGCAGTGGTATGATGCTGATTTGCGAGCCAGTGTCCAACAACGCTTTGCGTGAAGTGCCTAGAAGATGCACTTCCGTGGTCGTTTGTTCACCGACCAATTCGCACTTGTTGTCGACCTCTACTGCTCCACATATCCATTTCCTCAAGGACGCGGTAAAAATTCTCGCCGGCTCTGCTTGCTGAGCCGATCTGGTAACCTTTTCAGTAACAGTAGCGTTCTTCTTCGGCATCGTGCAGTCCTTTCTCAGATGTCCTTGCTTGTTACAGTTGAAACACTTTCCGACGGGTCTCCGCTGAGCCGTCGCATCGCGGACATCGAGCTTACTGCTTCCACCCTCCAATGTGTTCACAGTGGTTTGGACTTGCCGAGCATCATGACTGCGATCAACTTTACGTAATCTGCCGTCCTGGCTCTTTCGAGCATGACCTTCCATGGCATTACGCATTGCAGCCGCTACTTGCTTACTCCTTTCACATCTTTGTGCCATGGCTTTCACCATGTCATACGCCTGCTCCTTTGGAGCTATCTCCATTGTCGTAAAAAGTTGGAGGTATTCTGGCCAGTCGGTTAGCTGGCTCACCAGTTCACCTGCCCTTGTACGGGACAGTTCTTCTTCCGATGCATCTGGATAGGCTTCTCTTGACAGCCTTTCCAGTTCCAGGCAGAATTCTGTTACGCCTCCACGTTTCTTGAGGTGTTTCAGATCCAAATACGCCTTCATCTGCATCGCCGAATTGTCCACAGCAAGCTTTGCTCGCAGAGCTTCTACAAGGCTTTCAAAGTTCCCCTCTCTTACGAGCTTCGGTAGGGATTTCGCTACCGCTTTTGGGTAACCTTGCAGTTTAGAGAGCAACAGTTGGGTGAGCAGGTCATTCCGTAACCCAAGGCTCTGGTATTTCATCGTGAACCTCATGATGAACTCGTCAAATCCCTTTCCTTGAGGGTCACTATACACCTCCACTTCGGGTAGGGCCATAGCCGCAAATATGGACCCCATAGCATTATCGAAGTGGAAAGACTCACCTCGGCTTCGGCACGGAATCGACGACGATTGGCTCGCTTGGTCCTCGGCCTCGGTCGTCCTTTCTTGCTGCAAGTAGGTATTCTCAGTTTTTCCTCTGAGACTTGCAGGCCTTCTGCCTAACCGAAGGGTCTTACCTTGCGCCGCCGCTACTGGATCGAAATCCAGATAACATTCGACGTTATCGACGTCACCGGCGTTCAGTTGTTCGTATACGATCGGCGGAGCATAATTACAGCTGTTTCCTCCTGCAGCCTGACGAGGTTCCTGCAGGAAAACAGCATCAGAATGCTCAGCAGCACAACAAGCCTTTTTCTCATCAGGCCTGTACTGCTCCTTGGTGTAAGTGCTACGTGAGTTTCCCACGCCTTAGCGCTCATAACCACCGAGAGCGTTTCAGACACCACGGCTTTTAGTGCTCGACTTTCGACTTCTAGCTCCTTGAGGTTCTCCAGCTCCCGCTCAATGAGAAGACACTCCTCATTTATCCTTGAGCCTCCTCGTCCCAGGTTTCCTCAACATTACTGAGCGAAAGGCGACTGAGACTTAGGTAGTCGAATACCCTCAGTCGGCACCACCTAATTCTTTCAGGAACGCATCGCTCTGTGTGCTTTGCTCTGGGAGCTGCAAATTTCAGCGTGCATATCATTGGGCGATGCTGCGTGGCAACTACTTCATACGGTAGCCACGGCAAGCATAGTCGTCTTTAGCAGCGTCCAGGTGTTCGTTTAGGTCGCCAGCGACAATAATACCGTCTTCTGGTGGCACTTCAGCCGTCTTCTCATTCAACAGAGCCCAGAACTCGTCCTTGGATTGCTCAGAGCATCCAGTTTGTTGGGCATATGCAGAGAAGAAACATGCATTCGTTGCTCGATAGCGACAACATTTTCATTAACCGCTCATTGAAAGCGGCTCTTTGCTGCGAGCGAAAACTACAAGTGGTGTAGCCGTAATAGGATCTAAGAAGTTCCGTGACTCGATTACGAGTAGTCCGTTTCGACGAGTGGTTAATGAAAATGTTGTCGCTATCGAGCAACGAATGCATGTTTCTTCTCTGCATATGCCCAACAAACTGGATGATGTGAGCAATCCAAGGACGAGTTCTGGTCTCTGTTTAATGAGAAGACGGCTAAAGTGCTACTGGAAGAGGGTATTATTATCGCTGGCGACCCAAACGAACACCTGGACGCTGCTAAAGACGACTATCTTGCCGTGGCTACCGTATGAAGTAGTTGCCACGCAGCATCGCCCAATGAGATGCACGCTGAAATTTGCAGCTCCCAGAGCAAAGCACACAGAGCGATGCGTTATTGAAAGAATCAGGTGACGAACGCCGTGAAGCGAAGGTCCGATAGAAGAAGTGGCTCTGTCAGCTGTTTCTTTAGCACAAGTCGGCAAGCGAGGAGCGTGGCAGCGAAAGCCGTGGCTGCTGTGAAGACTGCTTCTTCGATTACAGCGAGAAGCTGAAGACGCGCGGCGGCGAGCGGTACCTGTATGAAGTTGCCAAATCGCGAGATCGCCAAATCGGAGACACTGAGAAGTTTCTCGGCATAAATTTAAAATAATTCGTTTGGAGACGACCATTGTGCCTTAGTGCTGCTGGTCAGCCCCTTCCTCACTCATACCGCCGCACCGGCAGGCTCACCCCACCCCACCCTTGGTAGGTCTTAATGCTGATGTTGATGTAATTGTTGTAGCTGTAGGTCGCTAATGTATTGTAATTTGAAGGTCTGATGACGGCGTTATCGCCTGAAAGCTTACCAATAAAGGATTTGAGCAAGAGCTTTGTATTCATCCATACTACAGTTGTCGATGAAGCCAGAGATAGCAGTATTCCACAATAGGTTCACCCGTTAGAAAGACGAATGTGAACAGAAAACAATCGAATAAAAATGGGATGTACCGCTAGATTGCGCGTTCGTACACTGCGACACTCTAGATAGGAAAAAGTGCAGAACAGATGCTATGGGAAAATTTTACTCATTTGTCCCTTAATAACTGATCACTCGTTGAATACCCTAAATACCCGGTAGATAAGTCCGCTATTAGATAAGACCGTGCGACATCACGATCACCGCGCGCGCCAACACAAGTGGGACTCTACAAGTTGAAACCAATTGTAAGTTTCAGAAAAGATGTTTTGTAACACCCATCTTCAAAAGATGTGAATATAGAAAGAAACAAAGTGTGGACGATAGAGGAAACGATGAGAGACTAGAGAAAGTTCGAAGCAAACAACAAAGGAAGAATTCTGTACTCTGTTAGTTTCATAGAAGCCCTCTCAGAAAAGGTCAAAAGAGGGGCTTCAAAGTAGTGTTCGGAATAAATGCAGTCAATTCCGACAAAGGAATTCAGGGATCAATATGGAAATTCTGTTCTGCGCTTTTTCCTATCTTGAGTGTCGCAGTGTATGACCGCAATCTAGCGGTATATCAAATTTATATTTTATTGTTTTCTGTTAACATTCGTCTTTCTGACAGGTGAACGTATACTAAGGTTCATTTGAGTTTATTCTATACCTCATAATTGCCTTCAAAATTAAAAAATTGAACGTATTTTCAAAGTAATTGTGAACTTTTCTACGGAGACTCATTGTTGTTTATTCCAACACGCATCCACCTCTTTCCAGTTTTTTCTTATAGTCATATCGAGCATATCCTTTGCGAATCAAGTTTTTGAGAATAGCGATCGTTTCAAAGTTACTGCTCCCGTTACCTAATCGCGCGCGGCGGACTTACCTAATGGAGGACTTATCTACCGGACTATGGGGTATTATCACTCAAAAAGTTTCGAAACCACAAATAATCTCTGTCTGCTGCAAAGACAGAGAAAAAACTGTGTGTCGCACGATTCTCTGCCACTTGCACGGCAGATGGCTCAAAAACCGGGCGCGGATCGCTGATCGGTTTCGGAATTATCGCAAGAAACCAATTTCTTGGGGAAGAGGGGCAGGAAATGTGCTCGGACGGCAGTTTTCCACTAATTTTTAAATTTGTTGTTGATGCCTGCACCTACGGCTCCCCTCCCATCAGGCACTTACAACACTTACAACCACTGTGAAAAATTTGACCGCTCATAGTATGCTTATAAGATTCAGGCAGCGATTTTCATTTTCGAGTTTGCAACCAGCATTCCAGACCGTCGGTAAATCTAGTTGTCGGTACAACGTTCCTAAATTATAGCCCTTTCATTGTTAGGGGCAGCGGCCAGCGGCGATTTCACTGATCTTCAAAACCAAGGTACAACTTAACAAGTTCCTCCAATTTAGGGTGCAGCGATCGAGCAGAGCCTGAGCGTTACCCGTCCAGTGTTCAATACAGTGGTAAGCGCCAAATTCAGTTCTTTTTTCAGGTGATGAGTGACAGTGGCTAGTTTGCCGCTGAAACATTCCACGACTTTTTGTAGTGAATCGTACGAAACGAGCGCTTACGGTCCATAGCCTACGAGCGGAATAGGTAACAAAATAGTAATCAGCATGCAAACTAGAAAGAAACCGAGAAAATCTTCATAAGGGCAATCGCTAAGGGAATCTAATGCAGTATAATGCGTAGCAGAATAATAATGCTATCAGGTTGTCCGTAGAACAATGCAAGTTTTCGATCTTATCTCAGTAAATCTTGATAGTCGAAATGAGAACTACTGAAAGTCACACATTTCTGTCAAGGAGACGCAAGCAAGTTCATTCTTATGGCGTAAACGTCCGACGATCTGAAATGGTTGAAATTGGCGAAGCAGCTCGGTGTGGCTAGTGATTCACTATTGAGCAGGAACTGGTCAAAGTGTTGAAGAAGTAGTAGTCGGTAGGAGATAATTCCGGTGAGTAAGGATATCCATTTCTGCAGCGCTGGTGTGGGACTTGCCTCGGCGGCGCTGGTGTGGGACTTGCCGCCACACGCTGTCTGCAAGAGAAATCATTTTTTGTTGACGAGGCTGGGTGCGAGCGCCGGAGCTCCCGATGCGTTTCATATATTTCCTAAAAGTGCTTCGTCAACGTAATCGCCTTTCCCTTGTTCAGGAAGCTCTGATGGGTCTGTGCGCCGCAGACCACTAGACAGTGATCATTTCCTTCTTTTGATGCATTTTTGGCGTGGAAAGTGGTGATGGATTATTTGATCCAAACTCTGCCTCGATCGTCGTCGGTTGATGCAGACAATCCCCTCCCATCACACGTCATAGTGCGGCCGAAAAGGGGCCGCTCCTGTTGCGAGTAACGATGAGGCCTCATGCAAAAAAAGTCTCGCTGACATTCATTCTAATCGCGTGGCACCCATGTGCCAAGCTTGACTCCTGTGGCTGCGACATTCATTATCTTCGAGCTCGATTTCTCTAGGCTTTTGGATCCAACGCTGAACAGTACTTTCATAAGCATTTCTTCGTCGCCATACTTCTATGACATAACGAACCGTTCGAGCTGCACTTCTGGCGAGCGCTTAGATGTCTTCATTACTGAATATAAACCATACCGAAGATAGTGCACAATATTCACTTCTTGAATGCAGCTACAACTACCTGTCAGGTATTTATTCCCAGAGCGACTGTTAAAAAGGTGACGTTGCAGAAACGGCACTGATTTTCGGGCTACATAGAACCTACTGTTCTCATGAAAATCGATATTTGAGACATTCTCATCAAAATCTCTGGAATTCTCTCCTCTGATTCCGAAAATTCAGTCGTTGAAATCTTATTCTACCGGTTCATGCTGGGAAATGAAAACTTCTTCGAATCTCAGAGCAACAGATACTGTTTGACATCTCATGAGAAAGTTTAGGTTCGTCGTCAGGTTAAAAATAAAAAATCGGCAAGAAACCACAACAAAAACATATCGCTTTGGTCAAAGGTGGAAGCGACTAATCGGAGAAATGGTAGTCTTTCGCCTGTTGAACCTGAGGTTGCCTTTTCTACTTCTGATTTATCAAAGTTTTCATTTCCGTTGTTGGGGGATATTCTGCGGTCAACACAGTTCACCTCAAGCGTGGAAACCCGGGAAGAAGGGAGCCAACCCCCCTTATGTATCTGGCTGACAGAAGACGTGACTCTGTAACTCGGCCGCACCTATTTCAAATATGACTTGTTTTCAGTCATGGTTTCTTGCACATCATTATGCCTTTTTTATTGCTCACTGTGGAAGCCTCACTAACCATAAGGGTCAAGCAGCATCTTTTGAGATGATAAGAAAAGAAGTTTTCTCTGTGTGCGCGATCTGGTAGAATTTAATGTTGTCCCGGTAATGTATTACCTTATTCAAATCGAATGAGGGTCCAGGGTTCTGTGGATTTCCACATCCTTCAGAACCTTCGACGGAATTCTCAAAGACCAAGTCTTATTGTCGGCAATTCGACTGTCCTTGCATATTTTTGCGACTGTTTACGCTTTCACAAGCGGTATTCTTTGTACCAACAGCCGTGTTTTTTTCCAGCCATTACCTTTAAAGCAAGGAATTTAACAGGGATGGTCTTTGATAGAATGAAAATGATTAGTAATAGAGAAACATGTCGTGGCATTTGCAACACCGGATAAGTGGATACCTGCGAGAAAAGGAGGAAAGGACTTCCCAAGGAGCTTTGAAGCGAGGATTTCTTGTTGACGTACAAGTTCACACCTCTACACATGTCTCTCCTAGATCTTTTCCAAGCACATCTCAAATATCAATCTTATAGGAGACTCTTCAGTCATTCTACAATCATTCTACAACGCAGTGTAGTTCGATTCGTCGAGTGTTGATGGGGAGGCGTCTCGTATAGGTGTACAACAGGACTATAAAAGGGCAACGCCGAAGAAACCGTACGGCTAATGTTGTTGATTTGTTCTGATCTGTATGATGACCTGTCTGCTGTTGCGCATACTGTTCTGATGCTAGTAACCTTAGGTAGTTGTATTGAATAGAAATTATTGACTTGATTATAGAATGTTTGTATTTATCCCGTTCGCTGTGTTTCTTTTGGTGCCACTGCTATGGCAAGCGAAACTAAATAATCGTCGTTTTAATGATTCTGGCACATATGTGATTTGTTTCCTACTTGAATTGGAAACACTACTCTATATAGCATTTTCATTCAAAAACTGACGACTTTCGAGCCAAACTCACGACTTTCCAAACCGAAGGCAAGATTCAGCTAAACATGAATAACAAACAAAAGTTTGTTGGGAGAGCGTAAGTGTTCAGTTAAACAACAGCACTAGGCACTACTGCAGGCTCTGAAGTGGGGCGCAGAACCCTCACCGGTGCTTTGTAGCCAGCATGCGAGGGCTACCGAGGGGTGAAGGCCACGGAGAAGCTATTTCGAATCGGGACCCTGAACGTGGGCACACCTGGAGATTTGAGAGGTTGCCAAACTTACGAATCCCAGAGAGGTCAAAGTCCTATGCCTTCAGAAAACGCGCTGGGAAGGAGCAAAGGGATCAATTCATTTGCAATGAAGGAGACACCGAACTCCTCCATTGCAAAAGTCTTCTCGTGAGTCACCGATCCTGTCCAGAAACGCAGTCCTCGAAGGATTCTGCTACCGATGGTGTGGCCATATCGGTGGCAGAACCCTTTGAGGACTGCGTTTC